TACTTTAGAGGACAGTGAATTTCCAGCAATCATCCATCCCATTAGCATCAAGAATTGGAAGCCAAATACAGTCTCTTCTGTCTGCAAATCTACAAAGCTTTAATGATTCCAAATAAAGGTGGCATGAGACATGTATCAGTTGAGCACCTACCTCCCTTGAGGAGCCAACTTCCATTGAAAGTCAAGTGTTTTAACCCCTTTGATGCAGTAATGTTCAGGACTTGGGGAGGGTGGATTCAGGATCCTAAATTTACTGAAAACTCATGCAACATAAAGATGCAGGTCTAAGCACTATTCATGTGTTGCTGGTCAGGGAGACCTTAAAAGCATGACAAGAAATTTTAGACATTCAAAGACCTTTATAGGTACTGCCCTCTACAATATCTAAATACTATATATTTATACAAAGTCAACAAAGTCTTCTACCATACTCAGACACCTGAAATATTGAAGACATTTACTTCAGCAATTTCCAGTCTGTGGTCTGTGGAGAGTTCATAGGTGACATGGGTGTTGACAGAACTGGTTTGAAGCTGCTTCCACAAGTTTCCAGGCTTCTCCTTACAGAGAAAATCTGAGAAGCCTTTAAAAGCAACTGGAAACAGAGGGGATCCAGACTAGCTGTGTATATTAGGGGCCACTGGTACATGAGAGAAGGGGTAGTGGTACATGAGCCATCCCCCTAGACCAGAGCCACAAAGGAGAGAGAAATGTCCAGGAGAAAAGGGAACCAAGACCTTGTCTACTCAAGAAAGTTGCACCATTTTACCTAAGGGTGTGACTTTAAACCAATTTAGTTTAACTAGTGCAAATCCCTGTGTGAACACTCTTATTTTGATTTAAATCAGCCCTATTTTGCTTTAGCTGAATTCAATTAGAAATTAAATTAAACTGAAATGAGCTGCTCTTAAACCTTGTGTAGACAAGGCCTAAGTGGCAGGGGAGAGGAGAAGATGGCATGCACATTTGATCAGCAGGGGCAGGAAGAACTGTATACATAGGAGGGAGAGATTAATTGAAGAGCTAAATTAGATATTTTTATTTATTTAAAAAAACAACAACAACCCATTTTTCATATAAAAGATGGTTAAAATACATGAATAATTTGTCAATATTGCTTTATCATATAAACTCTTGATGTAACTGCCACAGAACTATTACGCAGTCTCTATTGGGAAGAGGGTGAGTTGCTCAGTTGTCAATGGGAACAGATGAGGTTGATAATCTCTCACTGTAAAAAAAAAAAAAGTTCAGGAACCTATGTTTTTACTTCAGACTGAATTATTCCTTTATATTGTATTTCATTACAGACTCACTAGATGGAGAACTCATGTTCACTGTGCAACAAAAGGAATCACTCAGGTTACATCCAAACCCAGACACTTCTTAATCTTTGGGTTATGAATAGATTTAGGGATAAATTATTTACGTTCCTAATCACCCACATAAAAGTCCTAGAGGAATATTGCCCCTTGTGGCTGATGGAAAACTAGCAAGGAACATCTGAGCCCTTTAATTGCCTAATCTGAAGAAGGCATTGATAAATTTGGTAATCTACCAGCAATCATTAATGAAATATCTATATTTACACTACTGCCTGCAACACCATTGAGCACAAAATGCTGCTAACTCAGTTATACAGCCTAGTAAGTGTAGTCCAGGAAAGCATTGAGCTGACTTCACTCATTCATCTTTGACAGATCCCAGATAGATTATGAAGAGCAACTGTTCCTCTTTCACAGGAGCTTTCACATGTACTGTTCTGCATGGAACTCTCTCTCCTGCTCCCATCTCTTCAGTTTATATATGAACTATTTTGGAAAGGTTTCTCTCTTCAGTGGACAGGACTCAAGCCATCACACAGATGGCATAATGCTTCATGGAAATAAGCAGATGGGTGAAAGTTGGTTTAAGATGTATCCAAATAAAACAGAAGTGATAACTAGAAAAACTATCCTAAGCTGACCTCATCCTTATCCCCATCCCCTGAAGGCATCAGCACTCCATGTCAGCACTTACTGACATTTAGGCAGGGAAGACTTGCAGTATCACATCACACTAATGCTCTGTACTTTCCATGGCTACCCATTCAACTCCTCACCCTAGTCGTTCTGGCTTTTGGTGGACTGAAGCTCAGCTACCTTAAAGACCACATCTTTCTGCCCCTTTTGGGGATGATGAAACTGTTAGTGGCTAGAATTAAACTCTTAAAAGCCAGTGGCAAAACTTTATCAAAAGGAAGCTGTAATATTTGGGATGCCAAAATAGACTGGAATGAGCTGTAATCATCTCATGTTCAGATCAGAATGCAAGACCCACTACACTGGTGACTAATAAACCAGCACATCTCATGAACAGAAAGTAAAGTAGGGTGAACAGATGAGAAAAGAGAGAAGGAAATGTACAATGAAAATTGAAAGTGTTATAAGAGAGAAAGGAAATAAATATAATTTGTAAAACAACCCACTAAGTATTGTTGTCAAACAATGTAGCAGAGGGAAATGTTCTTCACAGGAAGTCTTTAAAATCTTTTAAACATGGAGTTTAAATGGTACACCACAATGATTGCCCTAAAACTGCTTAAACAGAGGTTTAAGATGCAAGTTCAGAAAGGTCTGAAAAAGTGTTTTAAGAAGACCGAGGTCAATTATTTATGAATTAAATTACTGATTTCCTTTTGAATTTTTTTAAATCAGTTCTCTGCCTAAACTAAGATTCCTCCCAGAGTGAAAACTCTGAACACAGACAGCTTCATTAAGCCATTAAATATTAAATGAACTAAATTAAGCTTGAAACATCACCTCAAGCTATTTTTCCATCTTCGGTCTCTCAGATAAATGAAAATTACTACATATTGTGCCAAGCTCTCCTCAGCAGGGTGTAGGTAGTGGAGGGTATAGCATTACTTTCCTTTTTCCATCTTTGCTTTTAGAGGCTAACTCTCTAATCTCCTGAACCACTTAAGAAATGGGCAATTTCTAGGAAACTTTAACTTCCAAGTTCACTTTTGTATAATAAATTATGTAATAAAAATACTGTGCCTTTAGCCCTCTGTGTACAACGTGTACACTATTTTTAATCTCTCTAGTCCCAGTAGGAAATGCTTTAAAATCCTTCATCTTCATTTCTCTTCCTGACTTCCTTTCTAAAATGTCCCAGCTGTGCTTGTGTGAAGCTGTCAATTCTCTCCAAATGTCATTGACCATGCTGAGCTGCTACCTGCCAGTTACCAGCAACTGCCCAGACACTTGCCAACAATGCCTTTCAGAAGTTGAAATAAAGATGAGGATGCAGTGGGGACCACATATCCTTCTCCTCTGCCAAAAGCAGATGGAGAGCTCCCCATGGTCTCTGTAAGCAACAGTCCCACACAGCTCCCCTCCCTGCACAGTTGGTGCAGTGAGAGCTCTTTCAGTTTGCTTTAATTGCCATTTAAAATCTATAGAGAGAGAGTCTTACTGTTTACATAACTGTGCCACACATCAGGTAGGGAAGCATGATTATCGCCAGTTCAGAAATGACAACTTGAGGTTAAAGGGAAATGAAACTTGCCCAAGGTCATACAGGAAGTCCATTGGCACTGAATTCAGATCTTCAAGGTCCCACTCTGGTGCCTTAACCACAAGGCGATCCATCCTTGTAAGGAGTCTTGTGCTACCTCACTGAACTTATTCTTTACAATATGAAGTACCTGAAAAAGAGCACTGTGTAATTCAAAAGCTTGTCTCTTTCATCAAAAGAAGTTAGTCCAATAAAAGATATTACCTCGTCCACCTTGCCTCTTGAATATCCTGGGACCAACACAACTACAACAAAGATATGACAGACATTTTAAACTAGAGGTTTTCTTTGTTCTCTTCTTTCTGCAAAGTGAAGACCACTTAACTTCAGAATGAGAGCATTCACCGAGGTGTTTAATGCACATTCACTTCACTCCTTTAGTTGATTCATCTTAAATATCCTGAATGTTCCTGTGTAGACAAGTTCTTGCTATGTGAAGGCTAGAATGCTTATCAAACCAAACCAGAACTCTGCCCCTATTTCAGTTCACCCATCATTAATATTTATATTGGACAAGTGATGCGGTGCTGGCAGTTCAGCCCATCATTTTGAGAGAATTTTACAGCCCCACAACTTCATTAGCAGCTTCATTAGAATTAGTGTGTCACACTTTTGTATATGCGGTTTCATTCAGTTAGCTAGATAGTTTTTAAGAGGGCGTTAAGTACACCAAAGTATTCTTTTAATAATTTAGCTGAGATGCCTTTTGTACAAGAGACAGCAAAAGAGATTTTAAAAAAATCCTTTGTTTTATTACAGGGCTTAGATGTATTAAAGTCCATGCTCTCACTCTCATTCCTACCATGCCACTTGTAAAAAGTCTGTTTGTGTCTTTAGAGAAAAATGTAAAATAGTATTAACTTGTAGTTCATGCACAAAATACACTATTATTTTTCTTCACTTTAATGGGGTAGCATTATAGTACAAGTTTTAGATCACTCTTTTAATTTAAAAATGCTGCCATCTAGTGGTGGTTCTGTGTATAAAAACAACGTTTTGTTTCATGCTCCTTAGTTATTTCAAACTTTCAGATCGCTAGATATGGCCATCCTAGAACCTTTACAGGAAGTAGAGGGAGGAGTGGGGGTGGTAGTATATTGTAAGGACAAGTACAATAAATTTTAAAATGCATGGTACTGTATATGATGCTACCTCACCTGTTACAAAATTCTAAGGGACAGATTTCCATAAGTGCTAAGCTCCCAAAATTGCAAAGGCAATGGGAGCTTCAAACATTTAGCAGCTCTGAAAATCAGACCCTTACTGTGTAACTGATATAAATAATTTATCCTTGTCGCTGCAGCATGCCAAAACATGTCTTTTAATTAAATACAATCTTTTATTGGTTATTAATATTTTTACACGTACCATCGCAGTGTTGCAATAGATCAAATTTGGGGGCCTAAAATTGTATCTGTGAATAGAAGCCCATAAAATTATTCATTTGAGGATGGATACACACACACACATATTGTACACAACTTGTTTCTATCACCAAATCAAACAGATATGAGGTTGATGGTGCTATGGTATGGGGAGCAGATGTGCACAACTATAAATGTATCTTTTTGCAGAGTCACTTTTATGGTGATTATCCTTTTAGGGAGTCTATTAAAGTCCTCTCTTTCCTCTAGGGTTGCTATGTTGGCTTTGACCTGGCTCATGCTGCTGGTAATGTAGAACTGCATTTACATGACTGGGGGGTAGATTTTGCCTGCTGGTGTTCCTACAAGGTGAGAGTTGCTCTAGCATTTGAGAATGTTTTTAATAATTATGTCTCCATGAACGGTGGGCAAAGAGGGTCAGATTAAATAGGAATTGTATTGGCCTCTTGGACCAAAACTCAAACAGAAGCTTTGTCTACGGTGTAAATGCAGATACCTTGGGTATGGTGGTTTTTAAGACAAATCTGAAGAAATAAAATATTTAACAATATCTATTTTCAACAAGCTCATCACTTTAATACAATAGATGAGGCCAAAGAGCTTCAGCTAAAAACCTTTTTGAAATTGTATAATCATCCTGTCTTTATGCAGGGAGGATGAGGGAATGCTGCATGTGAGAAATAATGAGAGCAAAATGTATACATGTTAATATATTCTTTACAGTATTTAAATTCTGGAGCTGGGGGCCTGGCTGGTGCCTACATTCATGAGAAACATTCCCAGACTATAAAACCAGCGTAAGTATTTCTACATATTGAAGAAAGCCCACAGGGGTATTGTAAAGTTTAAATGGGAAAACACTTCTCTTTTTCTCTGTCAAAATACACTGTTACCTTTGTGACATTGCTGATTTATTCAATTTGTCTGACTGAGGATAAGGTTTTAGAGGTTCAGGTTCCAGGTCCAGCCAGGGCTGGAGTTCTGGTTCAACAATATTAGAACTTCATAAGATTCTCTTCTGAGATTTTGGCCCCAAATACTGGAAGTCTTCTGAGCTCAATACCTTGAGGGTAGGAAATCACAAGTATAGTTTATTCTTGTGAGAATTCCCACAACAATTTTGGACTAGGGTGACCAGATGTCCCGATTTTATAGGGACAGTCCCTATATTTGGGACTTTCTTATATAGGCACCTATTATCCCCCACCCCCTGTCCCGATTTTTCACATTTGCTATCTGGTCACCCTATTTTGGGCTGATGTCTCCTGTTTAAAGGGGCTGTTCTCTTAAGATTCATTTGAAATGGAGAGCACTTAGGGAGGGTTCAGAATTAGGGATACTTATCAACAATCCTCATTCCCAAATTTGAGGGAATTCAATTGTACAGTTTGTGTTTTGGACCTTGTCTTATATAAGTAAGTATTTATAGTTGAAGCTAGAACAGTATGCAACATCTAATAATTTTGCTTTCTCTCCTCCCCCCCAAAAAGAAAATGGATGAATGTGACCACATCTGAAAAAAAATTAACTAAAAGCTGCTTTTTTCCCCCCTCAGAGGGGATAGGAATAGAGCTGTGTACATCTTTGCAGTTTTGCTTCACAAAGTTTCATGAGATTTTTTTTTTTGCATTTCAATCCATTTGGTTTCCACCCTGTGACTTTTGCTCTCAGTTTGTGGTTAGAATTAATCCTTTTTATGCAGTCAAACCAACCAAATGGCATCCAAGTTTCAAACCCTGGAGTTTTTAAACCAACATAGGCTGAGTTTAAATGCCTAGTCAAGCCAATATGTACTTTCAGAAGTAATCCCACTGACATGAATGGGATTAGAGAGACCAGGTGGCCAAGGTAGTATCTGTTATTGGACCGATGTCTCTTAGTGAAAGAGACAAGCTTCCAATCTTACTCAGGGCATGTCTTCACTACCCGCCGGATCGGCGGGTAGCAATCGATCTATTGGGGATCGACTTATCGCATCTAGTGAAGATGCGATAAAATCGATCCCCGATGGATCTGCTGTTGACTCCAGAAATCCACCGCGGCAAGAGGGGGAAGCGGAGTTGACGGCGGCGCAGCTGCGGTCGACTCGCCACTGTCCTCACAGCCAGGTAAGTCGACCTAAAATACGCAACTTCAGCTACGCTATTCACGTAGCTGAAGTTGCATATCTTAGGTCAACCTCCCACCCGTAGTGTAGACCTAGCCTCAGAGTTCTTCTTCAGCTCTGTGTAAGCTCAAAAGCATGTCTCTTTTACCAACAGAAATTGGTCCAATAAAAGATATTACCTAACCCACCATCTGTCTAATATCCTGGGACCAGCATGGGTATAACACTGCAAACTTGAATGGGATTACTCATGTGAAGAAGGGTTATCTGTGTCAGCAAGTGGTTTATCAGGGTCATGGGCTAAGGTCACAATGCTACAATGAGCTCTACATGTACAGCTTCTGATGTCTGTATGGAGTCTCACTGAAATCAATGAGGTGTGGGGTTCCATGTGCTCAGAGTTCATTGCAAGATCAGAAGCCTACTTTGTTTAAAAACAAACATCCAACCCATAACGTGAAACCAAGAAAAATTCATGTGGATTGTTGTTTGCTTGCATCTCTAATATGGAATTGCTTAACTCTTCTGTTTTGTCCTAAATTATAAGTAGTAGTGTATAAGGGTATTGAAATTAAAAGTGTATATGCAGGGATATTTCAGATTACATTACAGAAAGTAAGTGCTCATGCTTGCCCTAAAATGGATTGTGATTTCCAGTTTTTGTTGACTGAAGTTTTTTTTTAATTGGCAATTTCACTTTTCAGCTATTCTCTAAATACTGGCTAATACAAGTTCAGGCAACAGTTAATTAACCTCATGTTATGCTAAACTGGTGACTGAGAATTTTAGTAAATTATACTAGTTTTAAACTCTATTAATACGTACATTTACACATCCTAAATAGGTCGTCTGCATGTAAACCTGATATCAGAGTCCAAGAAATCTAATAAGAGGAAACGGTTATAACATTAAAAATAAGTAACCCTAATTGTGTCTAAAAGACAGTTTAATGTAAAGAGAATACATCAAATTTTCTTTTAAAATTTAAACACTGAATACCTTTCTTGGACCTGAAGAAGAGCTTTGTCTAAGCTCAAAAGCTTGTCCTTTCCACCAGCAGAAGTTGGTCCAATAAAAGATCTAACCCTTTTAAGTCTCCCTTTTAAAGTGAGACAAAAAACAAAACAAAACAGAAAAACAAACAAACAAAAAACTTATTCTGTGGTTGGTGAACAAAATCAAAGACTGTTTTAGCTCTGACTAATAGTTCTCTAATAATGGCATGTTTTCATTATAATCTCTACTTTTAAAGCTAGGAAGCATTACATGAAGATCTGTTTTCTCAAAGACTTTATAATTAATGTAAAGCTATAGTCTCTGACCAGAGGTTGGCTGCATACAAAGAAATACTTGTTAAAAATGTTATATAGATGCTGTCATATATTTTAAAAATAGTCAGATTGTGATTTTTTTTAAATACATCAACAAGTGTAAACACTTCTTTTCTGATATAACACCTGGAGAAATTGCTGATACTTTTTTATTTTAGCTGGGACAAGGAAAACTAAATCTAGTTTCAAAGAGAAATAATATTATTGTAACCAGTTGCATTACATTATGTGCAGCTCCTAGACTGTCTAGACTCCTAATAGATAACACAATAATGCTGATTGGTTCTTGGAATCATCTCAATTGCTCACAACAGAACTCATTCTAGGGCGTACAGCCATTTATAAGCTGATCATCACAAGTTTTTATTTGCTTGAGGCAAACACCAGCAAGACTGGAGGCTCTTCTGAACTATTCCACCAAGTACTTCTCCCCCATTTTCGGTCTCCCATCTTTCTTTTTCCCTCATTACTATTTTCCTTGAACTACTTGCTCTTTGTCCTCTCTGTATAAGTCCCTTCTCCTTCACTCAAAAGATTAAATCATCTGCTCCAAAAGATGCACCTTCTGTTCCCTGCTCCTTAACCTCCCAGTCAGCTCTCAGGTCTGAAAAAAGACAAACAAACTATCTAGCCCATCTTTGCATTTTTCCATCACTCTAGGCCTGGTCACCTTGTTACGGTCCTTGTGGAGTTTTCCCAACAGAACATACAGAATAGCCATTTCTTATTGCTGTTGTGTTCACTCTTAGGATCTCCCCAGTCAGATACACATAATGCACTCTGGGGTTAATGTGGCCAGGCCTGCTGGATCCTACAAGGCTCTTCAAGCCTATTTGGGGTGGGTGGAGAAGAAAGGGGTCAGGGTCTCATTGGGGGAAGATGTTGGGGACAGGAGAGAGGAAAGGGACTTTGTAGTGAACCTTCTGGAGACAGAGTGGGAGGAGTGATTTATATTTGGGTGTGTGTGTGAAAAAGACACATAGGGGATTGGATCCCTTTCCTCAGCTTTTGAAACCTTGGTAACTGCATCAGCTTGACTTTGTGGAATGGGCTAAGATTAGAGTTTGTTACTGAACCAGTTTCCCTATACGTAGTCATTAAGTCCTGTACAATGCCGAGGTAAATGAACATTTTAAAGTACAAATATATCTACATGTTACAGACCTTTCCAACCTGTGACCCAGTTAAGAGATTTCTGCTGTATACATTGGAGATGGTGTGGAAGCCAAACTCTGGGTCTCAGCGCCACAGAACTTTGAAGTTCAGATCAAGATCTGCATCTGGACTTGGAGGCGAGGCCCTATCTTTATCTCTATAACAGGCTCAGATCAGAATTCAGGATCAGAGCCCTAAATCCAGACAGATGTTAGAAATGTAGAACTTTTGGTGCAAATTTTGCAACATGAGCCCATCTCTCAGTCAAGTTACTTTAAAGCAGGGCAATGCAAAGTCAGAAAAGCAGGAAAGTGAAAAAAATAAGAATACAATATGATCCTAAGCTTTCAGATGTAATTTTTGTTGGGACCTTAATAGCCATAGTACTTTTGTATATACTGAGACTTGAAGATCAAATTGTTTGTTGTTAATATATCCCAGTTGCATTCCTTTTCCCCCCTCCCACATCACCCAGCCATTTCAGGTTTCCAAATAAAACAGTGAGACAAAAGAGAATTTGTCTATGTCAAAGCGTTCAATTTTATAGCTGATTTAAATGCAGAACAATTTGCTGTATGCTGTACAATCAAATAGAGTGGAATTTAACTGCTATTGAAGTTGCAGATTTTATGCTGTATCTAAAAAGTCTTTAATCGTCATTTGAATCAAGGATGACACCCAGTGGCCAGACAAGTTCATTCAAACACAGAAGCCCCAAATATCTTTTCATTTCTTTGTCTTTCAGCCACCCCTGAAGTAGGTAATTACATTCCAACCCAGTTGATCTGTGTCATTTAAATGATTTGACAGGTTGTTTTTAACCCATGGCCAATATTATGTAAACCACTTTAACCAACCCTATTGATTTCTTTAACTTATCTCATCCTTCATATTCAAGCTATTGACTAGGCAATTATATTTATCAAAATATTTTATTGCCTTGTAATGTAAAATGTACATTCTGGCCATCTTTCAAAGATGAAGATCCGAGGTGTATGCCAAAGGACCTCTTGCCTGTAATTAGCAAGTATAAATTAGAGGCCAAGGTAAACCAGCACAGGGTGAGAAATAGTTTTGTCATCCCGCAAAACTTTTTGAAATTTCAACATTTTTTCCTCTTTCACATCAGGTGAAACTGATTTTTCAAAGTTCTTTGTTAAAAATGAGAGCGAGACCAACCCGTACAGGAATAGCTAATAGCCTG